ATTTCTTGAAATTTCAAAAAGTAAAAATGTTTATACAGCTCACAACTAGATCTGCAGTAATGCTTGTTCAGGTTTTGAGAAAAAAATATATAGAGCTGTCGTTCCTGTTGATTCAATGGCTATACGGGACAACAAAGACCAGGCACTATCATCATTTTTACTTTAATTTGCATCCCTGTTCATTTTAGTTCGTGAATCATATTTCTACAACTTTATTTTTCATACCATGTATACCTGCATATCTACTTCCTCAATATATTAATGGGTTCAGTGCAAAGTTGACATCTTATGAAATACAACCCTTCCTGGAACAATTTTCAAATCAGACACATAATAAATTCACTTAGAAAAAAACTAAGAAATAATTGCGTATTCATAAATACATTGCCTTCATTTTACAATTAATATATTTGAAATATTTTATGATATTTGTAATTCATTCTTATAATATGTTTTAGATAATTCTTTACAGAAACATAATTCCAAATTTTGTACCTACAAGTGAACAGCAACACCGCAAACATTTAAGGAAATCTTGCCATTCCTGTATGAAACAAGCTTGAAAGGCTTTGTCGACAAGACTCAAATTGTTTCCTATTTACTTTGGTTTTGAAATCTGAACCACCGTCAAACCCAGAATATACAAACAGACCAATCAATGTTTAGAATAAGCCAATGAGGAAACATTTACAAAAATTGTTAAATATAGACATGATCTGTTGTTGACATGTATTAATAGCCCTTCTACTGAACAAATAAATCATCAGTGATCACTAGCACAAATTTCTAGTTTTGTTTCCCGGTCTAACTGAAAAGAAATCTGAGGGAAAATAGATCCAAGACAAATATGTTACTGATCTCTTGAAATGTTTTTAATATTGATATTTTTGATATCTAAAGTAGATTTACAGTATATCTAATACTTCATTACAGAAAAAGTTTTTTTTACAAGCAAATAACTCCTAATTGTCATGCTGTTTGGTAGTTTGCTATTTTCTATGATGATTTTTTTAAGTTTACATTTTCTCGTTTTTATTTGATACACATAAAATCTTCATGCAAGTATTAGTCTTATGACCGGTAGTCTTTATAGACAGGTGGCTTTTGTAAACATATAATCTTTATAGACAGATGGCCTTCATAAATAGGCAGTCTTTATAGACAGGTGGCCTTCATGAATAGGCAGTCTTTATAGACAGATGGCCTTCATAAATAGGCAGTCTTTGTAAACAGGTGGCTTCATGAATAGGCAGTCTTTATAGACAGATGGCCTTCATGAATAGGCAGTCTTTATAGACAAGTGGCCTTCATAAATAGGCAGTCTTTATAAACAGGTGGTTTCATGAATAGGCAGTCTTTATAGACAGATGGCCTTCATAAATAGGCAGTCTTTATAGACAGATGGCCTTCATAAATAGGCAGTCTTTATAGACAGGTGGCCTTCATAAATAGGCAGTCTTTATAGACAGATGGCCTTCATAAATAGGCAGTCTTTATAAACAGGTGACCCTTAAAAATAGGCAGTCTATATAGACAGATGGCCTTCATGAATAGGCAGTCTTTATAGACAAGTAGCCTTCATAAATAGGCAGTCTTTATAAACAGGTGGTTTCATGAATAGGCAGTCTTTATAGACAGATGGCCTTCATAAATAGGCAGTCTTTATAGACAGATGGCCTTCATAAATAGGCAGTCTTTATAGACAGGTGGCCTTCATAAATAGGCAGTCTTTATAGACAAGTGGCATTCATAAATAGGTAGTCTTTATAGACAATTGGCATTCATAAATAGGCAGTCTATATAAACAGGTGGCTTCATGAATAGGCAGTCTTTGTAAACAGGTGGCTTCATGAATAGGCAGTCTTTATAGACAGATGGCCTTTATAAATAGGCAGTCTTTATAGACAAGTGGCCTTCATAAATAGGTAGTCTTTATAGACAATTGGCATTCATAAATAGGCAGTCTTTATAGACAGGTGGCTTCATGAATAGGCAGTCTTTATAGACAGATGGCCTTCATAAATAGGCAGTCTTTATTGACAGGTGGCCTTCATAAATAGGCAGTCTTTATAGACAGATGACCTTCATAAATAGGCAGCCTTTATAGACAAATGGCATTCATAAATAGGCAGTCTGTATAGACAGGTGGCATTCATTAATAGGCAGTCTGTATAGACAGATGGCCTTCATAAATAGGCAGTCTTTATAGACAGGTGGCTTCATGAATAGGCAGTCTTTATAGACAGATGGCCTTCATAAATAGGCAGTCTTTATTGACAGGTGGCCTTCATAAATAGGCAGTCTTTATAGTCAGATGGCCTTCATAAATAGGCAGTCTTTATAGACAGATGGCCTTCATAAAAAGGCAGTCTTTATAGACAAGTGGCATTCATAAATAGGCAGTCTGTATAGACAGATGACCTTCATAAATAGGCAGTCTTTATTGACAGGTGGCCTTCATAAATAGGCAGTCTTTATAAACAGGTGGTTTCATGAATAGGCAGTCTTTACAGACAGATGGCCCTCATAAAGAGGCAGTCTTTATAAACAGGTGGTTTCATGAATAGGCAGTCTTTATAAACAGGTGGCTTCATGAATAGGAAGTCTTTACAGACAGATGGCCCTCATAAAGAGGCAGTCTTTATAAACAGGTGGCTTCATGAATAGGCAGTCTTTATAGACAGATGGCCTTCATAAATAGGGAGTCTTTATTGACAGGTGGCTTCATGAATGGGCAGTCTTTATAGACAGATGGCCTTCATAAATAGGCAGTCTTTATAGACAGGTGGCCTTCATAAATAGGCAGTCTTTATAGACAGATGACCTTCATAAATAGGCAGTCTTTATAGACAGGTGGCCTTCATAAATAGGCAGTCTTTATAGACAGGTGGCTTCATGAATAGGCAGTCTTTATAGACAGATGGCCTTCATAAATAGGCAGTCTTTATAGACAGATGACCTTCATAAATATGCAGTCTTTATAGACAAGTGGCATTCATAAATAGGCAGTCTGTATAGACAGATGGCTTTCATAAATAGGCAGTCTTTATAGACAGGTGGCTTCATGAATAGGCAGTCTTTATAGACAGATGGCCTTCATAAATAGGCAGTCTTTATAGACAGATGACCTTCATAAATAGGCAGTCTTTATAGACAAGTGGCATTCATAAATAGGCATTCTTTATAGACAGGTGGCCTTTATAGAAAGGTGACCTCTATGGACAAGCCTCATGAAATATTTTTGTATACAGTGGTCATTTTTGAAAGCACAGTTCTTTGTTTAAAAACTATTTACATGACAAAGATCAATCATATCATAAATTTTAAGTATTTACTTAAGATTTGTATGTTCTTTGGGTTTTTTTATTTTGATAAGTTATACCATATGTCTATCTGTGATAATACTTATACAAGTTTTACTTACACTTGAAATGACAGATATTATGGTTTTGAGAGTCTTGTATTTCATCTGAATTTCACAGTACCTATCAATGACAGATATTATTGATCTTGAGAATTTGATATTACACCAATGATCTACAACAAAATTCAATAGTGCACACAGATCGCTCTTGAGAATTCTCAAACCCAGAAATTCTATGAGTAATATCTGGTGTCTACCAGCTCTCAAGGAGAACCATATTGTATGACTTCTTCGGAAAGGCATTAAATTACAATAAGATATCCTATGACTTACCTACCTTCAGATAGCTAGATTTGTAAACAATAGCCATGAGTATGTTGTGGTGATAAAACTGGACATCTAGATAAAACACAACTATTCAACATGAAGCTTCCTCACTGACTACACGCATCAATCCATAACAAACCATCAAACAGCACCATCACTCATGGTCTCGGGTACGAAAGGTAAATATTTGATGAGTAAAGATATTATTTGTACCCAAGGGATCCCTGACAAGTATAGATCATGGTATACTTTATCACACCTGTACAGTGTATCTGTGTCACAACTGTACAGTGTACCTGTGTCACACCTGTACAGTGTACCTGTGTCACACCTGTACAGTGTACCTGTGTCACACCTGTACAGTGTACCTGTGTCACATATGTATATTATACCTATTTCACACCTGTACAGTATATCTATATCACACCTGTACAGTGTACCTGTGTAACATCTGTACAGTATATCTGTATCACACATGTACAGTGTACCTGTGTCACACATGTACAGTGTACATGTGTCACACCTGTACAGTGTACCTGTGTTACACCTATAGTGTACCTGTGTCACACCTGTACAGTATATCTATATCACACCTGTATATTATATCACACCTGTACAGTGTACCTGTGTCACACCTGTACAGTATATCTATATCACAATTGTACAGTATATCTGTATCACACCTGTACAGTATATCTGTATCACACCTGTATATTATATCACACCTGTACAGTGTACTTGTGTCACACCTGTTCAGTATATCTGTATCACACCTGTACAGTATATCATACCTGTACAGTATATCTGTATCACACCTGTATATTATATCACACCTGTACAGTGTACTTGTGTCACACCTGTTCACTATATCTGTATCACACCTGTATATTATATCACACCTGTACAGTGTACTTGTGTCACACCTGTTCAGTATATCTGTATCACACCTGTACAGTATATCACACCTGTACAGTATATCTGTATCACAACTGTATATTATATCACACCTGTACAGTGTACTTGTGTCACACCTGTTCACTATATCTGTATCACACCTGTACAGTATATCACACCTGTACAATATACCTTGATCACACTAGTATATTGTATTCTCCAAATAATAAAATAATGTATCTATACCTCTGTTTTCATCTTGTTGACAATACTGCACGTTTGTTTACTGGTTCTTATTGACATTTTAACAAACCATTAATGATGAATAATTGATCAGATCAGTAGGGTGCTTAAACATTTGCAACAGAATATCTTAATATCATATTCTCAAGAACACCTATCAAATATAACTTACCTGAACCAAGATCAAGGAAGCATACGTTGCCAGCGTTGTCAAAAGCGACAGTGTCTGGAGTGATGCAGAGGGTTTGGAACATTTCTGGAGTGCAGTTAACGACCTCCAAAACAAGGCAGCACTCGCGACAAAGCGCCCACAGCTCATCTTCTACTAAAGAAGAGTCACGTGCCGCCAAGATGTCGGCCAAATTCACTGCCTCGTCTGCTTCATTCACACCAGCCAAAGAATCCATGTCGTCATCATCATTATAGTAATTATCATCTCTCCTACCGTATTCGTTCAAATTTTCATCCTGTAACAATGGTGGAAGATGATCCTTCTGATGTGAGGCTATTAATTGTCCTTGTGCTATAAATCCACCATCATCATCGTTAGAACCATTCCCTGTCAAATGATCACGGAGATATTCGTAACCTCCATCCTCTGGCAGGAAATCCTCTTCATCCGGATGATGCTCTGCCTCTGCATTAGTCTGTGGAGACTCCATTTGGCAAAGGAGAAGTTACACCGTTTCCTTTACACTTTTTCACAGTGTAGCCAGTGTTAAGAAAACACCAGATAACACTTCACATACTGATTATAAACATTTCCAACATCTTACGCTAAACAAAACACACCTGGCATACTATACCTTATACTACGTCCTAACAAATACGTCCTATATCGAGAATATCTACATCTATACTGGTATACATGACAACTCAGAATGAGCCTGAATAATGAATATAATTTCCATTCTGTAAATTGCGTTGAAATTACTCCAAAATAATGTTGATATATGAATTTGACGTCCAATGCATCCTGAAAGATTTAGGCATCAGATTTCCTTTATCTGAAAAATAAACAGAAAACATACTGGTATGAAAAGGCTCCTGTGATTAATAAAGCACACAGCTGATACAAATTATACAAGCCATATGATACCTTGGTGTACTGTTATCCATTTAAAGCAGAAAATTTGACTTTACTTGCATATATATCCACTATAATGTGTAAATTCCAATGATGAATATATATTCACATGTAAATGTCACACCAAAGCAGACAGAATATCGATAAAAAAAATCACACAAAACGTCAGGTGTTTTAAAATTCCACTGTGCTATCTCGTCACGATCGGTGAACTGAATTGCCTTGAAATAACTGAAAAATAATCACAATACCTGAAAGATAGGTACCATTCTTAATTACAAAGAAACTGTGGGACAGTAGGTAAATGAATTGTTTCATCGTCACGGTTAGGCTACCCTAAATCCGTGAATATGAATTGGACGAAGGCTTAAAACCCACACATACAAAATATACCTAGTTTAAATACAGCCCAGGTATAAATCTACATGTGCTACAGTAATCTTTCCTGACAGGGTGCCAATATTTCTGTCATAGAATCCAACCTGACTCAGGTATTTCTACTGCTAAACAAGACACACAGGTACTAAATGAACATGTATTCGTCCTTACCTGTGAATGCAGCTTTCTACAGGTGTGTTATTGTCAGGCACACACTTACCTTTCACTATCCTACCTGTTTAAATATGACCATATATTTAATAAACAAACTGTATTCGTTTACTTATATGTGTGTATACATGTACCTGTGCAGATCTACAGACCTGTCCATAGGTAGAGTTTTCATTCTATACCTTTTTTGTCCTGCTTGTATACCGGTACCTGCTCTACCTGTGGTACCTAATGAGAACTAGCTACCATACAGTCAGGTACTGGACAGTATGTATATACATTTTTCAGCTATAACATTACATGCTGAGGCTTGTTGAATGGTTGAGTGATTTCACTATTTAGCAAATACGATCAATCACATATATCATACAGGTATAATTTCCCCGGATAACGAGTATTTACTTTCGAAATGTAGTAACATGTGTGGCAATTAATACACCCACATTTTAAAACAATATCCACCACAATAGTGTAATATTCTTAGACTGATGACCCAGATATTTAACATTGTATATCTGGACAAATTTCTGACAAATATTTACCTTACTTGTATATAATGTAAATACTTGTCTGTATAGTGACATATTACTATCATTAAGACACCTAGGTATTCACAGAAATGATGTATACACTCATAAAACCACATGGAAAACTGTCCTTTGGACAGGTGGTCTTTATATAGAGGTACCTTGATTGATATACCAGTAGTTTACATATATTTGGCCTCTATATACAGGTACCTGGTATGTTAATGTATATTTGGTCTCTATATACAGGTACCTGGTAAGTTAATGTACATTTGGTCTCTATATACAGGTACCTGGTAAGTTAATATACACTTGGTCTCTATATACAGGTACCTGGTAAGTTAATATACTCTTTGTCTCTATATACAGGTACTTGATAAGTAAAAGTACAATTGTTCTCTATATACATGTATTTGATATGCAAGATTCTAAATTGATTGATTGATTTATCAATATTTTTTTTCTTTGTGTGTTCCTTCATTCCTTCATTTATTTATACATCCATCTATACATTTGTATTATTTATTTACTTATTTAATGAGGTTGTTAATGATGATGTTACATTTATAGACTGGAAATTGCACTAGAGACTGCAATTATAAAGAGATAACTTGTAAACAAAAGGTCTATACAGACAGTTATCTTATAAACAGGTGGTCTTTAATGACAGTTTCCTTATTTACAGTTGGTCTTTATTGAAAACATGTGGTCTTTATAGACGGTTAACCTATTTACAAGTGGTATCTATTGACAACAGGTGGTCTTAAATGACAGTTACCTTATTTACAGGTGGTTTTTATTGACAACAGGTGATCTTTATGGACAGTTAACTTATTTACAAGTGGTCTTTATTAACAATAGGCCGTCTTTATGGACAGTTAACTTATTTAATAGTGGTCTTCATAGGCAGTTAATTAATATACAGGTGGTCTTTATAGACAGTTAATGTATATACAGGTGGTCTTTATTGGCAACAGGTGGTCTTTATAGACAGTTAAGCTATTTACAAGTGGTCTTTATTAACAACAGGTGATCTTTATGGACAGTTAACTTATTTACTAGTGGTTTTCCTAGACAGTTAACTTATATACAGGAGGTGTTTGAAGACAGTTAAGCTATAAACAAGTCTCTGTAGACAGTTAACTTATATACAGGTGGTCCTTATAGACAAGTAGTATGTTGTAAATGTGACCTTTATATGCAGATCTTTGTTATTTAGTTTTCAATGCCATGTTTATTTAAAACATGATGTAGAACTATTGACATTCATTTGCTGTTAAGACAAATGTGACCTCATTAGACAAGTTTCTGCTACTTTAGTTATGCATGTACATTTTTGTTTCCATAGGAAAGTCCCTTATAGGCAATTAGTAAGTAAAAAAGGAACTTTTTAGAAAATCTTTGAGTTTACAAATGTATTTCATTTTGTGAACTAATAATCTACTCCTCCAGTTACAATAAAACTTAAGGTACTAAATTATCATATATCATCTATCATAATTCATAAAAAGTTGATATGTCTGTGTCAGACTTGAATGCAAACAATTTCAAGATATGACAACCTGTATTTCAATGTTCAGACCACAGGTTTTCACAGAGTATACCATCTTTACCAGACGATAAGCTCATGTCAAGAATAAGACCACCCACTGGAGTAATACTTGTCCTGTAATAATTGAGCCTTCACTTTAAGTCAGAGGTAACATGGTCATCAAATGGGATTATTACAGAAAAAAATATGGTAAGTCTTCGTTACAATGGATCTTATATGTTTTCAGTGTTTTGTTCGAAAATGTTTAGTGAATTTAAATTTCTTCAAAACCATTTCTTAAGCATATCTCGCATCCAAATTTACTTTTCTCAGTTACATGTAGTAGTCAATAGTTGTTTATGTTTACTTGTTTTTGCATTAATTAAGAAAGATTTCAATGTACACTGGATAGCATTCTCAGATTCTTACAAAACCACAACAAAACATAACAAATAGTTCAATCTCGAGTATTTCTACAATCTCGTTCCCTGTTAATGAGCCATTTATCAGAAGTGGCGATCAAATGTATTTACCTAAACCATCAGTCAACAGCAGCGATCAATGGCCTGAAATTATTCTGTATACATTTCACTGTTGTCAAATGGTACACATCCTATTCATCCAAGATATTGGGAATTTTATACCACAAAATATCCAATCAAGCGACACAAACCTGTCACTGAGAATATGTTTACTTACAGCTTACCTGTAAACTTTGCACCTGCTTGATTTCCAACTACACAATAAACATGTACATCCATGCAAATTTTCCGATCTAGCCAGGCTTATACAATGTATACTAGACTAGCTTAGTACGAATACATCATGGTGTATTGAACGCAAGATATATATATTTTTTTAGAACAAAAAGGACTGGGGGCACATCAATTTACAAATTACCTATTCTAACCCACTAAAAGACTTGTTAGCTTAAAAACGCATATCCTTACATTGTTGTTAAGATTTAAAATATATTAAATACAATTGTTTGCATATATTTTCCTGAAAGATATCGATGATTATATTGTTATACTATATTACCAATGTCCAAAACAACAAACCTAAAGGCACAGAAAGAGAGATGAAAATTTTATTTTAAGCTGACCATGCTTTCCATATTTGGGCCTATGACTCAGGCAAGAGGTGGTTGATTAATGAATTTCTCCGTCAATTATTGTACACATGCACTTACCCCTCTCAGATATATAATCACCAGCAGGACCATCTATACAGCTTTATTTTTTCAGTGTCAGTATTATTTTTTTAATGTTCCACACCTGTGAAATCTTACCTTTAGGAATATAAATATAGACTTAGTAAATATATATAGAGATATAAACACATTTTTATCAAAATGGATGCGTAGTCTCCTATCGTTATGATATTCTCTGTTGTATGTAAAACAACTTCCATCTTCAAAATTCCAGGAGTTGTGATAACCAATTACAATGTCCCTGAAGAGGAGACAACTGGAAAGTAACCCTCTTTAACTTGGCCTCCATCTGCTGTCAAGCTTATCGCTATATCATCTTCTGGGGTATCCTGTGATAATTTCTGGATTACTGTGTTCCTTTTCACACTGACCAATCAGAATAAGGAACACAAAAAAGACAGAAAGAAAAAGTGTAAATTTCAATAAAACTATCAAGTATCGATAGAGTGAATGGAAGGGCAGTAACTCTGGAATATCAGAATGGTAACCCCTAGATTTCAAAGAAAGTTAACCTGTAGAAATTTTGGAAATATCATCTTTGATAATAATGATGTAATCACTGAATGTATTGTTCCCCTCTTTAAGTTTACGTGAAAAATTAGTAGGATATCACAATTAATTCACATGTAAAACAAAATGTGAAAGTTTAACATCAAAACTGATTTAAAGTTTATCATAAAAACCTTTATAGCAAGTTCAACCCTACCCTGTAGGTAGGCAAGTGTTTTTCACATCCCCTTCCCTCTGTTGAATTCACAGAATATTCCACTGAACACTTCTGGAAGGGCCTATTGCGATTACTAGGTATGTAAAGACATTCACTGTATCAAAATTAATTACATTTATAGACTTTTATCAACTGGAACTTAACTGGTGGTCAAACTGACCACACACGGTGAGGTTGATACAGGTGTAATTGAAATGATTATATACAGTCTGGCTGTTACAAGTATAAATTTAATACTCCATCAATTTCCTGAGCGGTACTTAAATAGAAGGTAACAATGATACTGAACCAATTAATTCAGAATGTTTGCATTAATAATACATAGTCTTTCCTTGGACCATTTTCTAATAAATTTACATCACTATGTACAACATGCTGATGAATTTAAAGGGGTCTCTCTTATTCACAGGCAACTTTTTACAATATTTATCCAGATATTTTTCAATATCAGTTAATTAACTTGATAACTGTGCTGTATATATAATTTGTAACTGTAGTAAAATACTAGTCGTAATTTACCACTTAACTACAGAGAACTTTTCTTTAGTTCAATCAGTTGAGCTTCAGATTAGTAAACCAGAAGTTCCCAGTTCAAATCCTAGCGGAGGCACTGAAATAAACAATGACCTCTGTACTTTGGTTCACCAAGGAATAATACTTAGCAATGCTCTATAATCATCACTGTAGCTTCTGGAAACTTGAGGACAAAATATTTCCTGGAGTGTTAGTATTTATCTAACTGAAGTAAACAAAAGCCACAATGTATACAACTTGGCTAGAGAGAACTTCTCTTTAGCTCTATCGGTTCAGCATCAGATTAGTAAGCCAGAGATCCTGGATTCAAATCCACAAATAATAAAATCTATTCAGATTAATGAGAACTACACTGTGCTTTTATAGGTTACAGAGAAAAGAGATTCAAATTTATAATTCATAAATGTTTTCAACTTTTCTCCACACAGAAAGGGAAAAAAAGTCTGTTTAAGTGATTTGTGCAGATATTAGGTTGTATATGGTAAAATTCATTTCTCAGTTGGTATTGCTTTGCTAATTTACACAGCTTTCATGCTTTTATAAGCCATACACTGACAATTTTTTTTAATTTTGAATAAATAGATTGCATTTGTTCTGTAAATACTTAAGAGTATCGTGTGTATTTACTCAGTGAAACAATGAAATTCATCTGCTTTATGATAATGATACAAATATAGATATATTCAAGTTTATTCGAATCACATATATATATATATATATATATAAATCATTATTTCGATTCTAAATCAATTTAAGGTCCAACCATATTAATATTTTTTATATCAACATCTGCCATTGAGAACCATACACTACTAAGATCACAAGGAATACTTACTTGTTTCTTTTCGATCTTAATAAAATGAAAAATTAACTGATACATTAAGGTATATTTTTTATGAGATATTTCTCAACAGAATTTTTTACTGAATATGTACTTTAGTTTCAGGAACAAGTTTAAATATGTTGGCCAGGTAGGGTGAAAAATGAGTTGCTAAGGTACATATATGCATCTTACAAGTTTACCTGGAGGCTTCACCTGTTAAGTGTTGTCAATTTCATCCTTTGATGTACACCTGAAAGCTTCACCCTTGTAAATTCCTTGTCAATTTTAGCTTAATATTTCAAACGCATCCTTCTGTGAATGTTTCACCTCAGTGCCCATATCTAATTGAATTTATTTATGTATGTCAGTAATTTTATCATAAGTAATATATATTTACCCTCATATTAAAATCTTAAAGTTTAAACTAGCTCACCAGTAACAATTCCAGTGCAATGATATAAAATCTTTTCTTTACAAAAGTCAGAAAATATTTTTTTGATTCATATGAATATTTTTTTCACCAGCTAGAAACTCAAGAGCTTGTTTCTATTTTGGTGAAATTCTGAACTAAGGTAAAGTATTATCATGTTAAAATATGACAGCCTTTTCAATTAAAATTTCATATTTATTCAGGTCATTAATTTTCTACATTAAGAATTTATATAAATTTAAGTGTAGTGTTGTATGTTGGAGAACAGGAATGCATTAAAATATAAAACTAAATTGGGATACAAAATTTTTCAACATCAAACCCTGAACAATTTCACTCTCACTCATAACAGTTACAAAAAATGCATTCCGATATTCACAAGTTATGAAAATACTGAATAGACAATAACTTCGACAAGGGAAGTAACTCTGCGGATGCTATTTTTATCTTCAAAGTAGAATACAGAGTATTCAAGCAAAAAATTAGAGGCAGATTTTTGACTTACATAAATAAAGGCAGTAGGCCTGGCATCAAGATTTTCTTTTCTGAAGGATTTGGAGTGAAATATGGGCCCTATTCCGAATTGCAATGCCCTTATTTTTCCTCAGACCATGCATTGAAACTCCAACATTAATAATAGTGTAAGAATTTCTCTAAAAAATGGATGTACTCTCCCATGTACAACTAATTAAATTACTGCTATGGGTACTGATTTCTGGTTTTTGCTGTAAGAAAGTATATCTGGAGAGTAGTAAATCTAACAGTTATGATTAAATTCAAATGTCTGATTTTATAAATTTCCCGAATTTTATATTTTCCAAAGTCATGGCCCCCGTTCCCAAAGTACAGAGAGAGAGGTAGGGAGGGATTATAAAAACTGTGATCCTGAACGATGTAAACGAAGGAATAGAGTATCAGCAAGGTGAAGATGGAGCAAATATTGAAGCTTCTACATCTGGTTCGCTAGAATGTTTTATCTTAATCGCACAGTTGTAGCTGCGACTGATTTTATAAGTTTCCTTGCAAAATGTGCCTCAAACAACATGTATGTGTCAATGTTAGCCTGTAGTGTGAGAAATAAACTTCCGCCTCTGATAGCTTTATGATCATTTCAATCATTTGCAACATCTATGCACAGATTTTTTGACAGGTTCACGGTTAAGTAAATAAAATATATACCTCGAAGGTACGCTGAGCCTGCGTATATCCTAATTAATTACCGACGCTGCAAATCTTCATAATTTCAATAAAATGCACCTTTGGCTTTGAATATCTGTGCAGGTCATACCAGCAATAGCCTAATTTCTGTATGGAGCGTTTAATGAAGATAGTAAGTGGCTATATATAACGTACCTGACGGCATTTAGCGACGCTCCCGTTCTCCCTGTTGCATCTGTGACGTTGCGGGCCAACAAAGTTGAAACGAGACACTGGAGGGGAAAACATGGCTTTTTCTGCAGGAAAACAGCACACCTTTTCGCGTCTAATTTATACCCAACTCGACTGATTAAATCTGTTTTTTCTTACACTATAGTTATCGTATCAAAGGGAGACCCGCATCCTTAACACTGTATTGTCAAACTTTTCCATTGAATAGTGTAAAACTGAAACGAACACGGTGAGACGCCGGGTCATTTTTCGAAACTTGAAACCAAAATGCACTGATGTGTTATAATCAGTTAAAAAGAAAAGTTATCGTTCTGTGACGTTTACAAAGACCCGAGATGTATACTATATATTTCTCAGTGTTCCGTATATAACATCGATTTTACTATTTAGTATATCATTAGCCAAGTAAAGTAATGAGAATCAGTTTATTATTAATATTTCACTTGTTGTTAGCAGAATCCATACTTAACACGCGCAAAAAGGATTTACTTGTGGAGGATTCCACTAATGATGGTAAATCTTTGAAATCACCTTAAGTTTATGTAAGATATCGACGGAAACTTATATTATTATGTATTCAGGAGTAGTTGTCGACTAAAATCAGCTTACATCAAATAACGTAATATTATTATCCTTACACACACACACACACACACACCCTCACCCACTCTCACTCACACACACAAAACAAAAAAAAACAAAAAACAACACTTCTATCCAAAATGCTTCCCACCAAACTGTATAATAAGCATGATATAAATTCAAATGGTCAATTGGGATTTTTCCATTTATGGACAGCAACAATCCTGCATCCCCATCCCATAATGTTCCTATGCAACAGTTAATTCGATATTCAAGTGTTTGACCCATATCACGATTTTCGCAGGTTGATGGAGATTAAGGGGAAGTTTTATGGTCGTCATAGTTATTTCATTGAGAATGTTGTATTTCTTTGTGTGATACGATACTGGTGTGTTTGATGCCCACTACACTGGGCCTAGTGGTTCCGTTCCTGTTTACCTGGTTCTCATTTGGGAACGTGCCATTACTTACTTAAACTGACCAAGGTTTACATGGTGAGAGTCGTCGTTGAAGCAGAAGACGCTTATTCTTCCTGAATACACGGTCTTATTCTACTTGTACTTTTTCAGGAGTCACCGTGTAAATATTTCTTTTCTTTATATTTTTTCATGTTTTCATCGAATTTGGGTTTGAATTAAGTTTTTTTTTGTTCTAGATGTCATTTGTTGCACTTCCGTGGTTTTTGTTCGAGATGTAGATTGTTATATTTTCTTTTAAGAGTGATATTAATTAACCTAAAACAGAATTGTATCTTTTCACAATCCGCAAGAATCAAGTTTGATATTTTGATTAAGAAATGTTTTCTATTCGCCACCAGAGACTTATACACGTTATTGACCTCACGTGGCTCCATGAAGACTTCGTTTTTTTTTTCTTCAGATTTTACCCTCCGTATTTGAAGCACCAAAATTCATCACCAGTTATATATGTGATGTTGAAATGAAGCGTTCTTTTATACTGTTACTCGAGAACATTGAGATGGTGATGTGAAAACTGTAGAGCAACACTAAGCAAAACAATTCTGCCAGGATGTTGTTTATGTATACCTGTACCTTCAAAGGTAAATCTTGGTACTTCGATATGACACGGTTCATCACAAAAGCTTAAAAAACCCAGATTAACAAACTCCCTCTCCATAAATCTCCAGCACCACTCCCCTCCATTCACCGTAAATCGCAAGCATCACTCCCCTCCCTTCCTCTCCGTAAATCTCCAGCACCACTCCCCTCCCTCTCCGTAAATCTCCAGTACCACTCCCCTCCCTCTCCCTAAATCTTCAGCACCACTCCCCTCCCTCTCCGTAAATCTCCAGCACCACTCCCCTCCCTCTCCGTAAATCTCCAGCACCACTCCTCTCCCTCTCCGTAAATCTCCAGCACCACTCCCCTTCCTTCTCTCCGTAAATCTCCAGCACCACTCCCATCCCTCTCCGTAAATCTCCAGCACCACTCCCCTCCCTCTCCGTAAATCTTCAGCACCACTCCCCTCCCTCTCCGTAAATCTCCAGCACCACTCCCCTCCCTCTCCGTAAATCGCAAGCACCACTCGCCTCCATTCACCGTAAATCGCAAGCACCACTCCCCTCCCTTCCTCTCCGTAAATCTCCAGCACCACTCCCCTCCCTCTCCGTAAATCTCCAGCACCACTCCCCTTCCTCTCCGTAAATCTCCAGCACCACTCCCCTCCCTCTCCGTAAATCTCCAGCACCACTCCCCTCCCTCTCCGTAAATCTTCAGCACCACTCCCCTCCCTCTCCGTAAATCTCCAGCACCACTCCCCTCCCTCTCCGTAAATCTCCAGCACCACTCCCCTCCCTCTCCGTAAATCTCCAGCACCACTCCCCTTCCTTCTCTCCGTAAGTCTCCAGCACCACTCCCATCCCTCTCCGTAAATCTCCAGCACCACTCCCCTCCCTCTCCGTAAATCTCCAGCACCACTCCCCTCCCTCTCCGTAAATCTCCAGCACTACTCCCCTCCCTCTCCGTAAATCTCCAGCACCACTTCCCTCCCTCTCCGTAAATCTCCAGCACCACTTCCCTCCCTCTCCGTAAATCTCCAGCACCACTCCCCTCCCTTCCTCTCCGTAAATCTTCAGCACCACTCCCCTCCCTCTCCGTAAATCTCCAGCACCACTCCCCTCCCTCTCCGTAAATCTCCAGCACCACTCCCCTCCCTCTCCGTAAATCTCCAGCATCACTTCCCTCCCTCTCCGTAAATCTCCAGCACCACTCCCCTCCCTTCCTCTCCGTAAATCTCCAGCACCACTCCCCTTCCTCTCCGTAAATCTCCAGCACCACTCCCCTCCCTCTCCGTAAATCTCCAGCACCATTCCCCTCCCTCTCCGTAAATATCCAGCAATACTCCCCTCCCTCTCCGTAAATCTCCAGCACCACTCCCCTTCCTCTCCGTAAATCTCCAGCACCACTCCCCTCCATTCACCGTAAATCGCAAGCACCACTCCCCTCCCTCTCCGTAAATCTCAAGCACCACTCCCTCCCTCTCCGTATTCCTCTCCGTAAATCTCAAGCACCACTCCCCCTCCCTCTCCGTAAATCTCCAGCACCACTCCCCTCCCTCTCCGTAAATCTCCAGCACTACTCCCCTCCCTCTCCGTAAATCTCCAGCACCACTTCCCTCCCTCTCCGTAAATCTCCAGCACCACTTCACTCCCTCTCCGTAAATCTCCAGCACCACTCCCCTCCCTTCCTCTCCGTAAATCTTCAGCACCACTCCCCTTCTTTCTCCGTAAATCTCCAGCACCACTCCCCTCCCTCTCCGTAAATCTCCAGCACCACTCCCCTCCCTCTCCGTAAATCTCCAGCACCACTCCCCTCCCTCTCCGTAAATCTCCAGCACCACTCCCCTCCCTCTCCGTAAATCTCCAGCACCACTCCCCTCCCTTCCTCTCCGTAAATCTCCAGCACCACTCCCCTCCATTCACCGTAAATCGCAAGCACCAATCCCCTCCCTTTTCCGTAAATCGCAAGCACCACTCCCTCCATTCCTCTCCGTAAATCTCCAGCACTACTCCCCTCCCTCTCCGTAAATCTCCAGCACCACTTCCCTCCCTCTCCGTAAATCTCCAGCACCACTTCCCTCCCTCTCCGTAAATCTCCAGCACCACTCCCCTCCCTTCCTCTCCGTAAATCTTCAGCACCACTCCCCTCCCTCTCCGTAAATCTCCAGCACCACTCCCCTCCCTCTCCGTAAATCTCCAGCACCACTCCCCTCCCTCTCCGTAAATCTCCAGCACCACTTCCCTCCCTCTCCGTAAATCTCCAGCACCACTCCCCTCCCTTCCTCTCCGTAAATCTCCAGCACCACTCCCCTTCCTCTCCGTAAATCTCCAGCACCACTCCCCTTCCTCTCCGTAAATCTCCAGCACCATTCCCCTCCCTCTCCGTAAATATCCAGCACTACTCCCCTCCCTCTCCGTAAATCTCCAGCACCACTCCCCTTCCTCTCCGTAAATCTCCAGCACCACTCCCCTCCATTCACCGTAAATCGCAAGCACCACTCCCCTCCCTTTTCCGTAAATCGCAAGCACCACTCCCTCCATTCCTCTCCGTAAATCTCAAGCACCACTCCCCTCCCTCTCCGTAAATCTCCAGCACCACTCAACTCCATCTCCGTAAATCTCCAGCACCACTCCCCTCCCTCTCCGTAAATCTCCAGCACCACTCCCCTCCCTCTCCGTAAATCTCCAGCACTACTCCCCTCCCTCTCCGTAAATCTCCAGCACCACTCCCCTCCCTCTCCGTAAATCTCCAGCACAACACTCCTTCCCTCTCCATAAATCTCCAGCACCACTCCCCTTCCCTCTCCATATATCTCCAGCACCACTTCCCTCCCTCTCCGTAAATCTCCAGCACCACACTCATTCCCTCTCCAGCAACCCACTCTCTGGTGTGCTGTGTGACAGACTGGACTGGGATGACTACGGTTATTCACCAACCGGCGTCTCTCGTATTCAAGATACTAGATATTGGACTAACTAGGTTCTCCTATACCTGCACCACTTGTGAGAATTTAAGTATTGTGGTTATATTGAGAATCAGCTGGGATGAAGTGTGATTTATTACCGTGTACTGACCCATATCTTACCTTTTACAAAATATATACATTTTGCCTATGTATATAGTTCTTATCGTATTTATAACCTACATATAAGTATATCAGGTCTTTAATCATATAATACAAACATTTATCGTGACTGGGTGACTTTTGAAACGAAAGGTGATGATTCAGCACAAAAATGAATAGGAATATTAGCGGGAGTTGTATCAATGTTATGGGAAGATGGTCACCATCTCGCACTATCACGAACATGGCAGTGAAAAAACATTAATTCTGAAATGCCCGTTTCTATATCAACTTAAACAGAAAAAAAACTTATAGTGTCAATACATGTGGATATAATGGTTGTTTATAATATATGTCATTCACGTGTACAGAGCATCCATTCCTATTCACATGCGTTCTTATGATACTTGCAAAAAAGTGTAAAGAAGATAAATATTTTTCAGTGTTGCAATTTTCTATTTAGAGTTGAACTGTCTTTTCATTTGATGGTTATCAAAAAAACCAAATGTGTTGTGCTTTAGTTCAGAATTGAGAGTAAAAATTCAAGAAAAAAAAATCCCGAAACCCTGGAAAATACATAGAAGTTAGAAAAAAAACATAATTAGTAAGGTATTAATAAATAAATGAAAAAAAAATCAATCAATCAATCAAATAAAAGAAAAAGAAAATACATGGAGATTTCTGATAAAGTACATGGAGAATTAGACTATCTGTTCCGGAAGGGTAAGCGTCTTCTGCTTCATCGAAGACACACGCCACGTAAAAACGAGGTTAACAATAACGAAACAATCACTGCAGGCATACCAACGAGCATTTCACACATCCACCCACCAGCCTTCTATCATGATATTGGTTACAAGCCCCTGTCACCTATTCTGATCCCACAGAGGTACTTCTCCTTGTTTTACTCTCCAGTGATAATAAGCTTGACAGACAATGGGGGCTGAGAGGGGGGGATATCATCCCTTTAAGACAGTTAAAAGTCGAAATTTACAAGTCGCAGACAATAATCTTTGCGTCTAGTGAGGTTAGTATAAGACGACGTTAAAAGATCTGATATTGAAAATAAATGGTTATTAATCTACATGGTACCTGTAATTAATGAGACTCGTGAATCGTTTCAGTATACTACCCTCCTCATTATAAATAGGTTTTTTGTAAACTTAGCTGAAATACAAAAGACTAAGTTTTTTTTGCACAAAATAAGCAAGGGTCAATAAGTAAGCACACTGCAATTGGAGTTTGGAGCTAGTAACCACAATGGCCAAAAGGGCAGTTATGATCTGGATAATTTTTTTATATAAAAAATTAACAGAAGTCTGTAACTCGTATCAACAGATAATTTAAATAGATTTACCCACAAGTCAACTTGGGGATTGAAAAGTTAAGTACGTTTTCAATTTAACAAATCTCACTTTTTAAACTTATCAAACCACTGTGTCATAACCTTTGCTCAGCATTCAAAAACTAATTGAAAATATGTTACATGTAGGTACAAACAAATAACTTACAAAAAAGAAATTCGGGAAAATAGTTTTCTAACAGTATGAAAATAAGAAGTGTGTACTTACAGAAATGATGTCAAACATTTAAAAGTCATATTAATAGGAAAATAGGCCTTTAGAATCTAAACTTGAAGCTAATGATGTTTTATGCGAAAATGACGTAATACAGTATACATGTAATAATCTAGTAATTTAGTATCAAAGTCTTACCCGTGCTTGTCCATTCCGACAATCACCGTGGTTGACTCTTCCACCAGATCTTAAATGGTAGCTTCTGATTTGTCACAGAGATGCTTCTTTAATGAAGTACGATTGTTCCTATTAACTTGCAAATATGGAGGTAAGACACATAGGTGTTATCAGGACACCACAGTGTGAATGTCAGTGCCAGAGTCAAACATACAGGATGAGAAAGAGACGAAAATTTGTAGGACATATATTCCCAAAAAATTGTAAACCGCCAGTGGGAGTTTGCACCACAGAACAAACTCTCCTCGTATGGAACATCCATTTGTACATAGTTCATCAGATTTCCGTACATCCGGAGGATTCGGACAGGTTGTTTCCTTTCTGACACAAACTGACCTTGGCTTCCTCTCAGCGTTTAAAACATTTATAACAAATTACTGCATCATCAACTATTGATTTGTCTGCACCTTCTTCTGATTGAATTGCATAAACAACTGGTGGTTTGCATCCTTTGTGAAGATCACGACGACTCGCCATACAAGTACGTGTTATTGGAGGCGGTTAGTTAATCATATGATAGCCTTAACATATTGACAGCTGGTATATTATCGTGTACGTTTGTCTGCAAAACTCTGACCATAAATGCCATGATAAGATAGTTCAATGCCATGTTTACTTTTCTTATGCAAGCTTTTGTCTTAGATTCGTTACTGACAAAGTAATCTGTCAAGTGAATCAGCCATTTTGAAAGCGAGCCCTTTCCATGTCCGTAATGACAAGTAATGGCCACCCGTTGAACGGTACTACAAATCAAACTTATTCCTGATTAGTTTATATGATGTCACTGACATTCTGTTAAAAACTTTCACAAATAAAAAACAAAACAAACGTATTTTCTGTATGTAAAACTGCAGTTCTGGATAAAAAATTTTAATTCACCCAAGAAAGACAGAGTTAACTCCCTTCCACCTCTGCACTTTATTCCTGAACATGTAATTTTAATATACACTATGCTGCTATGAATACACCTAATTATAGGTCGAACTCATTCAATCAACTTTATCTTAAAGTTAGTATACATTAATGATAAACGCAAACGGGATTTCTAAGAAAAACGATATGCTTTTCTTTCCTACAAATTGAATGCGCATTTTAACTTTGTTCTCTATAATTAGCTTAAGGTTCATGACCCTATCATACGTTCAATTTTTCAAACACTCACAATGTTTTTGGTTTTTTCCCCAACAAAACAAAAACAATTAACATGGGTAAAGAAAGCGATACTGTTGATGAAGGGTTGAAATTGTATCAATGTCACTTAAAAATGCATACAACAATAACTGCATTCACTTGAAGAATTGTTCCAGGTAAAAGGTAAGATTTTACCATTTGCCAAATTAAACAGTAGATGTAAGCCCGCTTTAGAAATTAATGGTGAAAATGATGGCATGGAACGAAATCCGGAAACTTTTCTGATAATATTCAACTAAGTGGTCTATTTCATAAGTCTCGTCATTATCATCGCATAAGTTCATGACCCCAGCATCCGTTTTTACTCCCTAATGAAACTGGCTGTTCACTATTGCAAAATGTCTTCCTTTTACTCCAGCATCTAATATCTCTTCATAGAAAACATTTTTCAACCGGTCACATTACAA